AAAACCCCTTATAAACCCCCGTTCCCATGGTCCGATCATGCTGGTTCGCGAACTCGTTCGAATAAACGTAGGTTTACACGTTTGTACCAAATTTCATCAAAATCGGATCGTTTTTGCTCGAGTTATTGCGCTAACGGACACACACACACACACACACACATATATATATATATATATATATATAAATATATATGAATTTGAACGGATGGTGTTTTTGCCCTCTAGGGACCTCAAAACGAAAAAAAAATCGGTCCCGTGTCCAGGAGCTTATTCCATTCCCTATATGGGAAATTCGCTAATATTTCGGTTATTCCATTGTGTAAATTGTATATATAAATTCAAATTTATTAAAAAAAAGAAATCTTACTACACATTGTAGTCTGATGTAAAACAAAGAATAATATGACATGAAATTTTACAAGTTTGTTTAAACCTAATTATGATAATTGTTATATAGGTGGTTTCTTATAATATTAATATAACATTTTGTGGCTGTTAAAGATATTAAATATAGCACTTGAATTAAATATAGTACAATAACGCAATAGTACTTGATTATTATTGTTACGAAATTACTGTGACTGTTCAGTTCATCGATCCCAAATCCATTATCCTCATAGAAATTTATTTGATATTGCATTAATTGGGGAGACATTAATAGTAACAGTTAAGTTTTCGTATTAGAGGCTTCTAATCATGTGGAGTCGTGTCAACTCTTCGCTGACTTGTCTACTCTCCCGCTCAGCTCACCATGGTGAACTAACTGCCTGTGCGTGTGTTCAACTCCCCCTTCATTATCCCCGAATTGGACGCAACCAAGGGAAGCGGGGCAGATGATATAACCAGGCCCAAGAGAGCTTCAATTCTGCCACTCTGAATTAGCCTTTCTACTCCAATACTTGTTTAACCGTAGTCTGTCCATTGGCACTTTTCCATCTGTCCTGAAGAATGGTTATGTCGTCCCCATCCCATATTTAAGTCAGGAGATAACCGCGACGTTATGAACTATAGGCCAGTAATTGTCCTTTTGTCAGTTACAGTATTAGCAAAGTGTTCTAAGGCCTAATCAGTTCAGCCCTTGTTCAGACAAGTGTTGATAGACAAACAAAAAGGATTCACCTCTGGTCTGGCAGCTCTACTGTGACCATAACCTTCTCTCACCAGTGCCAAGTCATGGATGCCTTCTATCGACGATGCCAAGATGGTGCTATATACAAGGATTTCAGCAAAGCCTTTGACAAGTTTAGTCGCCGTCATCTTCTTGCTAAGCCGGAGGGCTATGGCGTTGTTAGCACGATGCTTCGATGGTTTGAGAGCTATCTTTCTGATCGCCGTCTGGCTGTTGTCTTTCAGTCCCACGTCTCTGCTAGCTTCGTCGCGAGTTCCGGCGTCCCGCAAGGTTCTCATGTTGGCCCACTCTTGATCTCGATCTTTATCAACGACATTAAAGATAATATGCAGCATTAAAGATGATAGCGGGCTATGTATGTTCAGATTCTACATTCAAAAATAAGTCGAAAATGTGGAATAACCTTTTTTAGATTTCGGCTTAGTTTAGCCATAATCCGCCATTTTGTAATTTTTAAAAAAAATAATTATTAACTCAAAAGCCCTTGATGGAGATATTTTTATGAAACTTGGTATAAACTTAAAGTCTACAGGTATAAACATTCTCCGAAAATATCTTTGATCAGGCTCATCAAATTTCAAAATGGTGGCCATTTAAAATTTTGTTTTAATGGAATTTAACTTTACAAATTTTAAATGGCTGCCATTTTTTTAATTTGATGAGCCTGATCAAAGATATTTTTGGAGAATGTTTATACCTGTAGACTTTAAGTTTATACCAAGTTTTATAAAAATATCTCCATCAAGGGCTTTTGAGTTAATAATTATTTTCAAAAAAATTACAAAATGGCGGATTATGGCTAAATTAAGCCAAAATTGAAAAAAGTTATTCAACATTTTCGACTTATTTTTGCATGTATAATTTAAATTTGTAATACCAAATAATATATACAGTATAGATGTTATAATATCTGTCTCTATTACCGGTATTTAAAAAAATAATTTAGATAAAACTGTTGTAGGGCCTAATATAATAATTATATAATATTTAATTATTATCCATTAACTGCTATAAAATTGCTTTATTTTAACTTTCTGTTCAGCATTTTGAACATTCAGCAAATACGATTAAAACATTAGTTAGTTTATATTTATCAACAAATCTGGATCTAACTTAAAAAATATTTCAATGAACAAAAATTAGTTTACTTTTAAATGAAGCATGCGGAGTTATTTTCGTATAGGTAGCGGTACTATTGACCTAAAGGTTTAGAAGCAGGTGATTAGGATGATTTTCAGATATTTTAGGTATTTTACTTTACTTTACTTTACAGTACACACTTTGTTGTTATTTGACTTTATTTATTTCATACCTACTGACAACAGGTAAATATTTTGAGGCAATTAAGTTTTTCCCTTTTTTATCAGGTTTAAATCAAAACTTGTATTTATTGAGGTTCTGTTAAATCTTCACCTTTTTTCTTTCTGTTTTACATTACAATACTTAAATTATTACTATACATAAAATACACAGGCTTATTTCTGACAAATTTAGCACCCTGCAGCTTTTAAACTTTACAAAATGTTTTAACAATTTAAAAAATTTAATTATATCTCAGGGCTCACTTTTATGTCCCCCTCCTGCGGGGATCCGCATGATTTAATCCAGCCATATAGCATAAAATAATTGGACCGATACTGGATATAATATAGATTAAGTTTAATTTAAATGACGGTCACAACTTTAAGTTCGGCCATTTTTAAACTGTTCACTGTAGCAAAAGTTGGCTCCAGTAGCCATATACTCTATCTATATATATATTATCTATGAAACATAAAAAATATGTTACCCCTTTTATGTTAAATCATTGTTGTTAATATCTATCTATCTATCTATATATATAATACGTGAAGCCGTTTTTTGTTAACGCAACTCCTCCCTTAATTGTGGACCAATTTCAACGTTAAAGGTGTCAAAAGATTCGTCTCAATATGTAGTTTTGCAATAAGGTTTTAGAATTTTGAAATTCCTACTCTTAAGGGCGTGAGACCCTCTCAAAGGTTGGGTTTTCCCCATAAGAAATACATAGAACAAATTTAAAAACAAAAACAGCTGTTTATAAAAAGAAACTCCTTAGCTTTTTGGGAGTAAATATTAATGTTTGTAATATTAAGACCAAGTTAAACCGGAAATCAGTTTTGTAGGAAGAACAGAAAATGCTTCAAGTTCAAAGAAGAAATATTGAAAACGTGAGTATGAGACAATTAATAATAAGATATCTTATGCGTATGAGGAGAGTAGAAAAAGAGAGGCCTGGTCTAACAGACACTCATCCAGATACACATTCACTTGGTGATATGAATAATATTTGCCAGTTCTGCTATACATCGATGGTTCTGCTATGCAACTCACTTTGGAAGTGAAAAAATATACAAAGCACATAGTGTTGTCACGGTGGTAAAGTAAACTTGCCTAATGTCAGATCAAATGAATGCATGCAAGAAATGTTTACTTCTGACACAGACAAAACAAGATATTTCAAAATATTTAGTATAAACTATATTAATGCCTTGACTATGATGCGTTCAAGTAGCAAGATTATACCAAATCTTGGCGGACCTTATGTTTTTATTGGAAACTTTTGTATTACTCGCTCTACTTCAATTGAGAAAAAACACAAATGGATTGTTTACTTATAGGTTATGTTGCCAGTTCCTCGGAAAAACTTATACAAGGTTTATTGAATGAATTTACCAGCACAATCCAGACATTTCAAGTAAAAAATAAGAAGTTTTAAACAGCTCATTTGCTATTGAAAGTTTTAGTGGCAGTATTAGACCAAACATAAGTGAAGGAACCAGTGTTTTATGTATTCAACGATCGAGTTGTTACGGTCAATTTTTTTTTTTTTTAGTAACTGAAATACTTTAATATAATAAGTTATAGTACAATTTAGACATGGAAAAATAATAAAACATTTGCTATTAAAATTAATAAAAACGAATACGAAAATTGCTATAACCAACAACAGGTATTTAGAGAAACTCCACAGAAAAACGTGAGACTAACAGACACTACGTTAAAATACGTTAACCAACTTTCAATGTTGTTGGTGCTTCAGTCTATTCAAAGCAGATTATGACAGTCCAGTTGGCAAAAAATGGAGCACATGAAATGGTTGATATCACCTCACTTTTCAGGGTATCCACGAAGAAAATTTGATTAGGGGGATGTCTCAAATCAAAGAAATAAAAAGACCCAACTTAAATTACTAAACACAGGTTATCAGTAGGCCTAAGGCAACAGTTTTCTTCAATTCTCAATGCTGGAAAAACTTTGTTGCAACATGTAACTCGAATTGAAGCAGACCGTTTAGCATTCATTATAAGTTATCAATTAAAACTGAGAGCAGAAATAATGTAGGTGAACCTTGACGAGGCAAACAGAGGTATTTAAAATTAGTTTCTAACAAGTGTTTAAACAATTCTAAGATGTAACTACAATTACTGGAATTTAAGCATAAAGTTTTCCTCGGCATTATGTTCCATACTATGAGCCGCACGGGTTCTCTAGTTATGTCTATTTTACTCTAAAAAAACAACTTACACTAATTAATTTACAAATGAAATTAAACATTTTTCATAAAAAAAAAACAACAGCAAAAACTAGCACATTTAACATTTAATTTCTAGCTGTTGACAAAAGTATAGCTGTTCAAAGTAGTTTTATCGTTAATAAGACCGGTAGGCCTACTAAAATTACATGGTATGTATTTCCTTTAATTTTAAATTTTTTTTGTGTTTTCTGCTATATCAAATTCCAAATTTCTATATAAAAGACCTCCTGGGGCGAATGATTCGTAAAATACAGCAGTTTCATAATTGAAGTACAATAATTAAATTAATTTATACAAAATATGATGAATAAATATAGTAAATAATACCAACTTATAAATATATACTGCTGATATAATTCTGTGGGACAATTTCTCTTTCTTTTCTCTTGAAGGGGTTAGCTAGGTCCACCCTGGTATATTGTTTTGTCAAGTAGTCATTTTCCATAGCATACGATAAAAGGGTGTCAATTCTCTCGAATACAGCCGGGGGTGCATCAGTTTCTGAAACAATAGTTTATAGAAATAAGACCAAAAAAACAAATCGACTACATTGAAAAAAATCTAAGAAATACAAATAACCCACATTCATCAACTGTTGAGATACCCTGTGGGTGGATACCTCATTGGTATGAAAGTCTAATGGAAAATAAAGTTGCTTTGAATATCTTCCAACAAACAAAACGTGAACTTAAGAATTGTAAATATACAGTAAAAATTATGCTATTTATTTAAAGCTGGTGTTTAACAGGAGCGGAAGCAGATCAGGGAAAGCAGAGTAGCGGAGAAGCAATAACCTCTCTGTGTTTTGATTCCGCGCCTAGGAAAACACAGCTTTAAGTAAGATATGTTATTGGAAACTCAAAATAATCCCAGAGCAAAAAACATTTAAAAGTTGTCAAACATAGATTAAATTAAAAGTTGGCTTTCAATTATTTAAGTTGCATCGCCATATTTTAGTGTGGCAGAGGATTAAAGCGGAATACGCGTTTAAATACGTCATAGAACGGCCTCACTCCAGTGAGTCTTGGCTACCTCGACTGAAACATCACAAAACAACAACATCAATGCTCTCTAATGCTGTCACACAGAATCAGAGATTGTGATAAACCAATATGAGGTGGCTATTGATATGACGACAGAAAAATAATGGGGTTCTGTGATAGTACCAAAGTTGGAAAACATTGTGATGTAAGTTGGACTAAAAGACAATATATTGTGATAACACCTGTGAATGTGTTATGATGATATAAGAATGAGATTATGATGGTGTAAAAGAAAAGAAGAATTGATATATATATTTATAACACACACACCAAAATAGAGTAGGTTCAAGGAAATGAGATGCTATTGATACCAAGGAATGTAGGGTAGGAGATAGTGACTTTGCTATGAATGATGGATGGTTTCCACATAAAATTGCAACAAAATACAGTTAACACCAAACTATGAAATGCTTTGTACATGTACTGTATTCATGTCTATGTCTATCAGTTACCGGAATAGTCGCCAATGATGCCGATGTACCAAGACTTGCTGTTGAGTCGCTGGTACTTGAGAGGCAGAGTCGGCTGGCGTGTCCATCCTCGGCCCTCGTAGATCTCAGGGGAACTGCTACCGCATATCATGAAACTGACAAAGAACCAACATTGTGGTGATCACACTTGAATGCATGTTGATTACTTCTATTTACTTATCTTTTTACTATCATAAAAATCAATGAAAAAAATAATATATATTTTTAAAAGCACTACTATTCTAATTTTATTGCCAAATTATTGGAACGGAAATCAATGCAAACCATACAATTTTTCATCAAATAAGAGAGATATATTTTGTTGACAACAGAGTTAAGCTACACTGAACATAACATAGAGTATTTTATTAATAAGATTCAGTTTTTACAAAGGAAAAGTAATAACAAGCACTACAATTGTTGCCTTTTTTGGTGATGTTAATTTTGTTAAAATTACTATGTATTTTGTAACAGACGAAAGTGAAAATTTCTAGGGAAAGCAGTCCAAACAAATGTCAAGGATTTGTCTGGTTGGATTGCGTTTTAAAAAGTACAACTTACTTGAACCGAATGTCTGGCAACTTATTGTTATACTCTCCATTGAGAATATAGCACAGTTCTTGACAACAGCCGAGTTGGTCCGGATCAGGCCCAGGAGAACGTTTTGCCTGAGGTCCGAGATAGTTCTTGCGTACGTAGCCGACAAACACATAAGGAACTGGGGCTTGGATACGCAGAGGGTAACCTGGCTCACGGGGGCCCCAGAACTGACGTGGAATGAAGTCTTCAATAGCTAGCATTGCTGGAGAACAAGTTGCAGTGGTTTAACAATGAGGAAACTAGTTTATTACTAGTTTTATTGTATTGATTGTAGATTACCCTGTGCTTAATGGATTATTTTATCATAGCATGACTGTCAAACCAATCTTCTATATTAATATTTAATAGGAAAGCATGTTTCTTTAAAACCTTTTTTCCCAGCTCGTGTGCATCGCAGGGAAAATCTACGTACTGGTATACTGTTAGAAATATATTTCCTTCTAGATGTGCAGAATTCCTTTGTAAATTAAAATAGTCTACAAAATAAACACAAAAGATTAATTTAAAATTCAAAAAAATTAACATGGGCTTTATGGAGTGACGAAATAACAACAAAATATGAACAGAAAATCAAAACAAATGGAAAAAATTTAATCACATGTTTTATTTACAGCTTGTGGTGAAAATAGAGAAGTCTGTTCATTACATATTTTTGGTCGAGTTTTCGACCACTAGCACTGGACGACCTCTAGTCTATATATAATAGGCAAGCATGTTTCTTTAAAACCTTTTTTCTCATAATTATTATTTGCCATATACATAAAACTATCTACACATAAGTGCTCATTGTCTGACAAAAAACCAACAAATGGCTTATTCTGCATATTTATAATCCATAACATTGTAAAGGAGAAGTGGTTTGGTTAACTTTATTATAATAGCCCAGTCAATGAATGCAATAAAACAGCCTTTTTCGCAACTAAATGGTGGAAAGCTGGATTTTTTATATGTGATAGAACCACATGAGAGGTGTATTTTCCCAAAAGTCCCCACTTCTACCCCTTGAGCTTTCCCCCCCACCCCCCTCCAAACATAGAAATTGCAGTGATTTACTTAATTGATCATAATTTGAATGTTATGTAAGCTATCGAGCTGCAATTTGTTTTATTTTATTTCTGATTAGTTTTCCTACAACTTTTGTATTTATAACATTTTTCTAAAACCAATAATTAGGGAGATATAAAATTTAAACTTCGTTAAAAGCTTTGTTTCAGAGTGCAAGATCTTGTTTTTCTCTATGTATACTTTTAAATATAAATAATACGCAAATATGGTTCAAACAAAAGTTTTAGTACGTTTTTCAAGGTTTACAAATATATTATTGGTTAGTCATCTAGGTGATCGGGTGAAGAGCTGAGCGTCGGCAAAGTGAGCACGTGCGCGCTAGTTGAACACCTCTGCGCTGCGTCATCGCATCTAGCCCAGCCAATAAACGCACCAACTGCCTTTTTTCGTCGCTAAATAGTGGAAAGCTGAGATTGTTATATGTGATGGAACCACTTAAGACGTGTATTTTCTAAAAGTTCCCGATCCTCCCCCCACCAACCCCCCCCCCACCAAAACCCCCTCCAAACCTGGAAATTACAGTCGCTCACTGTACTGGATATAATTCAAATTCTACGCATGCCATCGTAGTGAAATTTGGTTTGTATTTTTTATAATTAGTTTATCTACAACTGTTGTACTAAAGATTTTCTTACAAAACTATATCCACAGAGATATAACATTTATACTTTTTTTACAATGTTTATGTTTAAGAGTACACAATTTTGTTTTACCCTCTATATATTTTTTCCCAAATAAAATACACAAAATGTTTTAAAAAAAAACTTTAGTATGTTTCTTAAGGTTTATAAATATATATTTGATTAGTCATCTGAAAAAAACTGATGTGGTGTGGGGCGTCGGCATTGTCGGCAAAGACACCGGGTGCAGGCTTCCGCGCAGCGCAGCACCGCCCGTCGATGCGTCGCGTCATATGCACCGACATCGCTAAGTTCTCAAAGGTTTTATACAAATGCTATGGCCTTGTACTTTTTAGTTTACTACCAAAACAATCTGTATCCAAGCTTAACCGTTAACAGTAAAAACAATTATTATTTAGATGGAACCCAATAATTTTTTTATAACCGGTTTTGGTTTAGGTAAATTAATCTCTACCTACTTACTTGTTATACTTGCAATACTTTTAATACTTGATTTCTTCATATTTGACCAACGAAAGTTTGATAGATTGAGGTATAGAACACTAGGCCTAATAAACACTTTAAAAATCACTATAAACATACTCTTTGCTCTTCCTTACGTTACAATGTGCTTTCCATTATCTACCACCAATGGGACTCGCTTTGTTCCCCGCAAGATTTATACTAACTGCGCCTCGCGGTCAGTAAAGATCTAAATAGTAAACTGAAAAAAATACTAATTAGATGAAACCTAATTATTTGTACATTTCTTAAATTTATTGTTGGTTTTAACTCGTTTATCATTTAAAATAATAATTTATTTAATTATTTCTGTCAATGGCTAAACCTATTGACAATAATATACATGGATACATATATTACATTACATAAAGCTGGGTAAGAAACATACTGAACCCAATGATGAGATGACCCAATTCGCCTATGGGTCTGAGGATGATTGGAGTGTCGAATCGAAATCGACGACCACTTACCATCTTTTATGTATATTTACAGTATTGTCAGTAACATAATAAGTGTAAATTTATGTTTTAAGGGTTAGACTATTAGACGTATTTTCTTTTATTTACTTTCCAATTAATTAATGTAATAAGGCATATATCCAAAATTTATAAATAAGTAAGTAAAAAACTATTTGTGTCCCCGTACATGCAGGCTATTTACCGCTATTTACGGGATACATACAGGCAGATTATTCAAATTTCTTAACATATTGTGTAGATGTGTCAATCAAATTGAGGTTTTTTTCGTAAAAATTGGCAGCAATGTATTACGAATCTGCTTTACGGCACTAATACGTGGTCCAGATCAATCATTTTTAGAGACTTTATACTGTAAATCTTGGTGAGGTTCTGTTCTCTAATATTTTATTGTTTTCATGTTATCTAAAAAATTAGTCAGCATAATAGTTCTTTATTGGATTTTGGTAGACATTATGCAAACGTTTCACATCACTAATAAAGATGAAGGTGCTTATTAAGTGTTTTAAAATCTCCTCTATATAGACTTAATAAAAAAGTTAGTTTTAACATTGACTGGTTTTAATTTGTGTTCCTTACCTTACCATGATTAAAAATGGCTTATAAATACTACCGACAGTTTTCTACGTTGTTCGTGATATTATTTTAACACAGGCTTACAACTCATGGCAGAGCAGCCATATTTTATTTGCTAGCGAGAAGCGTGAAGAGGATGAGGGACATATCAACGATAGGACGCAGTTTGTATCAAGGATTAGTGAGTCGACGAAAAGTTTTTACTGGCCGTGAGGTGATTCATTTAGTCATGGTTTAGCTTGGAAACAGATTGTTTTGGTAGTAATGTAGGCTACAAATTAGGAAGTCTTAGAATTTAAATAAAACAGTTGAGAACTTAGCGGTGCCGGTCCTTATTAGGCTATGCGTCGACGGGCGGGGTTGCGCGGATGCTGATGACTAATCAAATATATATTTATAAACCGTAAGAAACATACTAAAATTTTTGTTTGTAACATTTTGCGTATTTTATTTGGGAAAAAATATATAGAGGGTAAAACAAAATTGTGTAATCATAAACATAAAAATAAAAAAAAAATTTAAACATTATATCTCTTTGGATATAGTTTTATAAGAAAATCTTTAGTACAATAGTTGTAGATAAACTAAGTTAATTATAAATAATATTAAACCAAATTTCACTACATGGCATGCGTAGAATTTGAATTATATCCAGTAAAGTTAACAACTGATATTTCCAGGTTTGGAGGGGGTTGGAGGGGGGGGGGGTTGGAGGGGAGAATCGGGAACTTTTAGAAAATACACGTCTTAAGTGGTTCCATCAGATATAACAATCTCAGCTTTCCACTATTTAGCGACGAAAAAAGGCAGTTGGTGCGTTTATTGGCTGGGCTAGATGCGATGACGCAGCGCAGAGGTGTTCAACTAGCGCGCACGTACTCACTTTGCCGACGCTCAGCTCTTCACCCGATCACCTAGATGACTAACCAATAATATATTTGTAAACCTTGAAAAACGTACTAAAACTTTTGTTTGAACCATATTTGCGTATTATTTATATTTAAAAGTATACATAGAGAAAAACAAGATTTTGCACTCTGAAACAAAGCTTTTAACGAAGTTTAAATTTTATATCTCCCTAGTTATTGGTTTTAGAAAAATGTTATAAATACAAAAGTTGTAGGAAAACTAATCAGAAATAAAATAGAAACAAATTGCAGCTCGATAGCTTACATAACATTCAAATTATGATCAATTAAGTAAATCACTGCAATTTCTATGTTTGGAGGGGGGTGGGGGGAAAGCTCAAGGGGTAGAAGTGGGGACTTTTGGGAAAATACACCTCTCATGTGGTTCTATCACATATAAAAAATCCAGCTTTCCACCATTTAGTTGCGATAAAAAACATTTATTGATTGGGCTATAATCTGATATAAAGAAATACCCACTATAGCGACATCGAGGATTGGTTTTTCTGCACAGCTTGATCACCAGTATTTAAAAAATTTTACATTAAAAATGTTATTTGTTCATAATCAAATTACTTAAGAGTTTTTTTAGAAGTTGTTGAAAATATATAACCTTTTACTTACACATTTTTATTTTTAAGCATCACTTATTTATTGGCAATTCAACATGGACAATTTTATGTTTAGGTTTTTCAACAGTTTGTGCATATTATTAGCATGCCAAGTTTCACAAAAACCATGTATTCCCCACGAGCAGACTGTTTCTTACTACATAAATCTCATTCATTAGATAACAACTAGCTGTCAAATTTGTGATAAGAATTATTAGATGTTGTGGCTTATTGCTGGTTTGTTATTTAAATATAAATTATTGGTATCTTCATTTTACATTTTGGTTGAAAGGGAACAGGGTATAAAAAATAGTTTCCTCTAAGAGATAGATTATTTATTTATAAAATTGTTTTCACAAAAAATTATTTCGTCTTTACCCTTTCCTTGTGCATTTCATTCAACCCAAAGGTGAGTGAGCGTAGCGAACGAACTTCAACCAGGACGTGATTGAGCGATGCGAACGAGATCATCTTGAAAATTAAACGTAACGGTACTTTCTTTCCATCGGTCTGTCTTAGGGGAAACCTATAACTTAGACGATACGAAGTTCGCCGGGTCAGCTAGTTTATTTATAAAATTGTTTTCACAAAAAATTATTTCGTCTTTACCCTTTCCTTGTGCATTTCAGCTGATTCTACTTGTTTGTTTTGCCTTTGTTATGAACACACTGTAGGTAATGTCTTTATTCTCCTTGCTGTAGAAGTGATGTAGCATTGATGCAGGGACGAGAAGACAATTATCCTTCTCTACATCTACGCTGACATCAATCCTTACTCTGGTGCTCACTTTATACTCCTTCTCATCTGCTTTGAACGACACCTTCACATTGATGTCATGCTTGGGTTTGCCGCAAAACACTGGGATGAAGGTGAACTTCAAAACTCCCGTGGCCACATTGAGATCTTCAACGAGCCAGAGGAAATGTCCGTATATAGAGAATTGGGAGGTGAAGGTGAAATCGGTTTTGAAATTTTCACAAAACGTACGGATGGGTTGTGTTTTCTCAAGGAACACCATTTTCTCCAGATGTTCCTGTTTGAAGTGATCTGTCAGCTCCACCGCAGGGCCTTGCCACTCACAGTTCTTGCACTGGATAGGTTTGTAGGCACAGTACAACTCGTGATTGTCTTAGGCGGTGACAAGGTACGAACAGTTCTTGTAGCGACAAGTGTGCGGGATGACATCAAGCACTTGACTGATGAGACAGTTCTGCACGACGTTGGAGAACGTTCTCCGGCAGGATGGGCAAGTCTCTTGCTTGCCCCTACACTTGGTGCAGATGCAGTGACCGTTTATGCAAGATGTCGTGTCTTTCTGGAGGGCCTCCAAACAGATAGAGCACTTGAAAATTTCACACAGAGCGAGAATAACATCCTGTAGCTCCTCTGGCTGCAGTTTATTCTGTAATAATTTTTTTTTTCATTTACAAAAATGCATTCAAACATTTGTAACAAATCTTTATAACAGAATATTGCTGCACATCAATTTATTACCATATAAATAAGAGGTTAATAATATACGTTAGGCCTAGTATTGTCTTGTGACTCTTATTTACCTTCTCTAAGGGCGAACGACGATCATTTTGGCGACCATGTCACCTTCTTCTTCAGATCCTAGTTAAGAACATCAAAGTTCACTCATGATGAGGTCGCCGAAACGCACACACAAAGATAAAAATTAAATATTTGACTACTACTTTCGCCACCAGCTACAGGTATGCACTGCTTGGTTAAAATATTTTGACTGCAGTTTGGTTGGAAAGAGTGTAGACATTTGTACTTTGTTATCATTGGTTGTAGTTTGAGCAGGGTGTCAAATAAATTGAACTTTGCTGTGTAGCCAACCTGGCTGACGGCCCTTCCGGCCAATGCCTAAAGTGTTTCTTTTGACAGATGCCCTGCGTGGTATCTGGAAATGTAAATAAAAGCAGCAATAAAGCACTTTTTCATTCATTCATATAAAACAAATTTGATTGTTTAGAACGTCTCCTGGGTCTTTTTTTAGGCTTTTTAAATTCCATATCCCTCCACAGCATCAATATAGCAGCCTTTCTTGCAATACTAAGTATCACGTCGGTGTTAAAATCGGAAAAAATTATGGTTGGGGTGGTATTAGATGTGCTACAAAATTGGATTTTGTAATATTATGGTTCTTGCTGCTGGGTAAATGTTCTCGGAATCTAGTCTGGAATGTGCGGCTAGTTTTTCCCACATAGTACTTAGGGCAATCGTCACATACAAAAACATTAAGAACAATAAGACATCACAATCAGTTTTTTTTTACCCTTAGAGGAGGTATATAAGAGTCACAAGATAGTACTAAGGTAAATAAACCTCTTATTTATATGTTAAGTGACTGGACTACACAAAAAGGAAATTTGTTATCGACTATTAAAATGGGACAGTTTATTCCTTGAAATACCTTAGAGGCTACATAAGCTGGCAATACTAGTAAATTATAATCATAAAAATAAAAAATTCCCTATCCATTGTCATGTAACATACCCCCTTTAAAGACAACAAACCTGTTGTATACTTTTAGATTGTATCATTTAGTTGTTATACTAGACATATGTCACACTGATTTTCTATTTAATTTAAAGTTTTGTAGCTATACAATAAAATAAAAAAGAGCTCAGAGTAAAACTTCAATGTTTTTTTTTTAATCGGAAAATTATATATGAAATAGTTTTAATGTTTAGATTTCTTATATTTTTTGTTTAAAGTATTATGCATATTTGTTCTTAAGCTTGACAACATAGGCTTCCGGCTAGAACGTATCAAGAAAGTAATAGTTGAGCTGGTACATATAAAAATCAAATGCACCAAACAAATAATTCCACTAAAAAGGTTAAATAAGGTCTTGATAAGGAAAATAACTTACCATCCTAGGATGAAGTAATATTAAATTGATATATTAGTGTAGATTTCCTAATAAAACCACTTGTAATTATCTTTAAAACATTGATAAAATTATCAGATAAGAATTCCCCACCTTCAAACTTGCGTTTGTAGATAGGAAGATAGATATTGAGTTGTGTTATAGTATTGAGAACCTACTGTACTTATCACTTTGATAAGTAGTATGTTTGATCAGTAATCAGTGAAAATCACGTCTAAATTAAACTGTTTATAAAATACAGTATTGTTGCAGTTAAAAAATAAAACAATAAACAGCTGATATTTTACAACACTTGTAATTTGTTTAAGAGGTTACCAAATTGCAGATTTTACTAGGATTTAAAACTCGTTTCCGAGGCAAAACAAATAATGCAATACCACTTTCCTTTAAAGATTATTTTTGTTGTCGGTTGTGTATGTACAGTAACTGTTATTTCCTAGTAACTGTTATTAGGTGAATAAAACTAATAATTTACAGTAAAATCCTGTGCACGATCATTCTCGCACCTACTTATCGACCTTGTAGCGTAATATACTATTATCTTAGGTCAGTAAAAAATACAGCTACATCTACAGTCTCTATAGATGGATTTAAATGTATCCTTTAGTTTTTCTCAGATATGGAAAATATATTTTTTTTCTTTTCTCAAGTGGAGAAATTATGGTTTTAGTATTTTGCAATAAAAAGATCTATATACTAAATAGCATTGAAATTATTGTAGTGGTACCTATCTGAAATATCATGTTTACAATATCATAGAAATTTACTAATAATGTTAATTTTAATGGTTAATATTGATTGAGGATAATTCACTCAGGAGAAATCAGGTACACAAAAAAATAACCAAAAATATTTGTATTTGATCTTGCCTTATATACATTTTTACAACAGTTTTTTCCACCAAAGCTCTAAAACATGTAATGACAATAGATTGAATTTAGTTTTAGGTAAAATTAGTTATGCATGGTTAAAACATAAAAAGTTACATTTGATTATTTTTACAATGTAAACATTGCAGCTATTTAGCTATATATAATAAGATGTCTAAGAACAGAATAAAAAATTAACCTTACATTAGTTTATAGAATTGTGATATCTGCATTTCCTTTTAACAGTTCTCGTACTTAGTTTAACCAAACCTTTAGTATAAAACAAATGCAAACCAAACCTCTTCTCACTAAGAATCTTTTGATCTATGATTAATATTCCTGTGATAAGCTCATTCAATATCTCCCAAGGCAAACAGTGTCTGCGGAGCTTTTGTCACAGGATGTAAAGTTTTAGTTCCATTGATCGAGAGCCCTTTTTCTTTACTAAACAAATACTTTCGTACAAACAGCCGGTTGTTCTCATGGACATTGGGGTGTGACAGGTACATGTCCATCTGCGAACACACGAGTAAAAATTGTTAAATCAAATCATCATGAGTTTTAAATCTTAAGTACAGTAAATTTTTGATTATCAAGCAGGAAGGTCCGTTAATCCAGAAAAAAACCCCATTGTTGAGTCAAAGATCACTGAATTACGAGCCCTTGGAGCCTAGACGTACTAACTCATAAAACAATTCAAAAACTACAAAGAAAATTTTTAATCTCACATTGCACTTGATAGTTAAATTACAATGACTTTGGTATTTGAAAAAAAATTTTTAGATTGTAAATAACTCTCAGCGGCTGTTCCTTAATGATATTAAGGAAATTAACATTGCTCTTATGGTGGGAAAATCCAAGATAGTCATTGGCTTCCTGGACTACCTTGGAAAACAATTCAAAACTACAATTAAAATTTTTAATCCCACAATGTGCAACATTTTTAGATTGTGATAACTATGGTGTTTGAAAAAATATTTTTGGATTATATTATTATTTTCAGCAGCTGTTTGAATTCACCCAAGATGGCAGCTAGCCTCCAAGGACTCTTAATATGATTTCTCTATTGTCAAAATTATTTATATCTTCATTGTAGATATTAGCCTCCAGATTGCCAAATTTTAATTAAAAAGTTTTTTTGACAGGACCCAGCCTTTGGTGAGAAGGAAATGGTTGTACACCTACTGCACTGACCACCAGCAGTCTAGACTCAAACTCTGCTGTGTTGGCAATATCTTGTGTTGTATGGTCGCCATTTCATTGAAAAGTATTAAAGTATCTGTTATCATAACTAAACAGTTATAGTAAACTAGCTGTTACCCACGGGCTCCACCCCGTTTTACTACATTAGTATTAATAAAACTATTGATTGGTTAAGTTAAGATGAAATAAACAAAACAGAATACAAAAAAAAAAATAACAGCTGAGGTATTTTTAACATTAGGTAAATGGAAAGTTCCCTTTGGAAAGCAATTACGACCTTATAGGGCAGTTTATGAAATAATGGATAATTTTGCGCAAGGTTTCTCGTCATGACGAACATTTTATGGTATATGGTACATGGTTATGGTATATGGTTTATGGGGGTGTGACTTGTAGTTTTCTCAAAAGTTCATGGGTACTTTTGGCTTTATATATAGATGTGTCGTATACGTGTGTGTCGTCTTTAAATTTCTATGAAGTTTAAGTACGGAAGTTTAAAATGATATGCACTTCATATTAAGAAAGAATACGTCCTTTGATGATAGCTCCATGTAGAAGCTGAAACCAGTTGACCTCAGAAACAGCACACAGAAAACCTTAAGTGTTTGAAAAAGGAAAACAAAATAGTGCATGAAACTTACGTCCATCCATTGACTGTCTTCAATCTCTACCTCGCAGCTAGTGATCGTTGAACTCAGCGGTGCCAACTCTACAATGAAGTACAGATCAGAGCAGCCAAACTAAAACATATGTGTATTGTTAAGGGATAGATGGATTACGGAACCATATCTTTGCCTCAGTGGACAAAAACGTGGACAAAACAAAGCACATTTTTCTTCCCTAAGGTGATTGTTTTTACTCAGTTTAACTTACTGTAAATTTAATGCATGACATAGTTAAAATTAAGGTAAGTCACAGAATACCAGAGGCTTTGATAAAACACTATGGTTAGCCTTAATATTATTTACTCTTAGTAAACATGTTCATGCAATCACTGATAATATCAACCACCAACTGAATGAAGTGAGTTAACATTGCAAGCAGAAAACAATCACTATCATCCGGTAGCTCAGAGATAAGGTGCAATGAATCACTTTGAATGTTCAGAAACATTTAAACAATAAAAATTATAAGGAAGGAAGTCGCATTAGTTAAGTAATAGCCCAAGGCCCCACTAGAAAAAGCAGGCCATGCTGCAGGATCCATGACGTCACACTAGTGGATAGATTTCATTGATAAATTCATTGCCATCACCATTCCCATATGTTTTTGGTAAATAAACAAGCTGGCTGTTTGTAAGATTTTAATGGTAAGAGTTTAGTACAACTATCCACCACTGTGACGTAGTGTTGCGCTGCCCGCGCTGCAGCATGGCCTGTTTTTTCTAGTGGGGCCTTGAATAGCCTCATCTAATACACGGCTGGGGCAAGACAAAAGTGGCTACACTGCTGTCACGGCCTACCGAAACAGCTGTAGCACTAATTCATATAGAGCGCTGTGCAATACTAATGTATACACAATTGTTATTACTGAGCCACATTGTTCGCTGCGACCTTGTGTTAGGGGGGGCTATAAGTTCTTAGTGCCTAGTACCTAGTTACAAATAGTTAAGTACCTAGTTTAGCGGTATTTAAATTGAAATAACAAACATAATATATGGTTTAATACTAGTTGCTATGTCAAACATTACCAACAGCACTATCAATAGTCAAACATTACATGTATACCTATGGTTTTGCAGGGCTTGCATTATATTTTGTTGAAAAAGTTATTGTTTTCATCTGTATGTTTGATCTTTATCTTCAAATCATTGACATTTTCAGTGACCTCAATGACAGTCAGACACCCAGTAAAATATTTGATCTGTCTTAAGTTACCTGCGCTGAATGGGAATGGCGGAAAGCTATTAAAGACTTGAACTCTGTCACGATATTGGTTTCTTCCTGAACCTCTCTCATAGCAGCCACAGAAATATCTTCACCTGGAACACATTCCTCATGAAAATGACTCTTTATTTTAAATCTCCAAAGTCTATTTAATTTATAGAATTTTAGAAGTATCCATTAAATGTATAAAACAAGTGAATGTAGAGTTAAGTATTCTACATTGAAGAACAAGAATGAGATCCAGAGCTATCTCATTCTACAGTACAATACACATTGATAATTACCTTTACTATTTTTTCTCTTAATCATTAATCACTGAGATATACATTATATAGGTAGATTACTTTCAGTTTAAAATATCAAGAAAGAGGTCACCTGGCTCTACGTAACCGCCCGGAAGTTTCCAGTATGGCTGTCCTCTGTAAGACTCCTGCACCACTAGCAGTCGACCATCCTTGTCAACCACCACGGCGCCCACCCCCACCATGGTGTGAGCGAACACAGGCACTCGCGAGGGCGAACTGTCCAACCAGCGGACCAGGGAGACAGTGGAGCCATCACTACCAGTGTGGTGGAACCTGAAACAGTTCTGTGCTCCGTCAACACTCACAAAATACAAGTACACCATGTGAATTACATGCATATTTTAAAATTTGTATCGATGGTGAATAATTAAAATTGTTATTAGTTAGTAGACAAAGCGTGAAACTGGTAAAAGTAAAGTGCGGATGCAACCGTGGGAATATTGGTGTTGTGAATTTTGGACATATAGCCTACATTACTGAAAAAGCTGATAAAGAAACACACTGCAGCTTGTAGAAATATGTTGAGAATTACAGCAGTTGCGTACAATCATTTGTATACTGAAGTAGACATCCCATCTACATGGACCAGCTGTTGCACATTTTTTATTAAAAAAGAACAAAGTTGACTGAATCAGTCACAAATTGCAATGTATCTAAAATCCTATTTTCTACCTTATACAGGGTGCGACAGAAAGAACTCCCATATTAGGAAAGCTAATAAAAACAAAACCAAGTAAGATATGACATTTTTATTGCTATTAACCAAAAACACATATTATGCCATTTAAAAAAATATAAAATTATAGTGCTTTAAATAAAATGTCGTTTTAATTAGGGATGGACGGGTCCCGAAATTTCGGGAATTTTTCGGGAAAAAAATATTCCCGATTATCGGGACGGGATTACATTTGATTCGGGAATTTTTCGGGACGGGATTTGGTCCGATCGCCGGCGATTTTGCCGCTTCGCGAGTGCCAATGACGCCGCTATTGCGAGCGATAGGTCCGCGAACGCAGGAGACTAAGTCGTTTCGACGATTGCGCCGTGACCGTGGAGTCATACCGACGATCACGCCGTGTCCGCGGAGACATACCGACGATCGCGCCGTGACCGTGAGTCATACCGACGATCGCGCCGTGACCGCGGAGTCATACCGACGATCACGCTGTGACCGCGGAGACATACCGACGATCGCGCCGTGACCGCGGAGTCATACCGACGATCACGCCGTGACCACGGAGACATACCGACGATCACCACGTGACCACGGAGACATACCGACGATCGCGCTGTGACCGTGAGTCATACCGACGATCGCGCCGTGACCGCGGAGACATACCAACGATCGCGCCGTGACCGTGAGTCATACCGACGATCGCGCCGTGACCGCGGAGTCATACCGACGATCATCCCGTGACCGCGGAGTCATACCGACGATCGCGCCGTGACCGTGAGTCATACCGACGATCGCGCCGTGACCGTGAGTCATACCGACGATCGCGCCGTGACCATGAGTCATACCGACGATCGCGCCGTGACCGTGAGTCATACCGACGATCGCGCCGTGACCTTGAGTCATACCGACGATCGCGCCGTGACCGTGAGTCATACCGACGATCGCGCTGTGACCGTGAGTCATACCGACGATCGCGCCGTGACCGTGAGTCATACCGACGATCGCACCGTGACCGCGAGTCCTTTCGACCGCGAGTCACAAGTTTCTACAGGTACCTGAAAAATTGTTACCCATTTTTGGGTTTTTATAGATCAGTGCCACAAACGGTAAAGATTGATTTTGTATGTATTTTTTGGTAACTGCAATACTCAAGACTTTCTTTTTATGCACAGAAAAAAATCCCGTCCCGTCCCGTCCCGAAAATCGGGAAGGAAATAAAAATCCCGTCCCGTCCCGTCCCGAACTAAAAATTCAATCCCGTCCATCCCTAGTTTTAATAATCGATAATTTAAAATGATCGTGTTTTAAATAAAATGTCATTTAAATGGAAAGTATAAGGTATACGAACATCGCCCTCAAAGTTTGGAAGCCCTGAAGGAAAGAATAAGGCATGAAGTTGCAGCCATCTCACCCGACATGACCCGAAAGGTAATGGACAACTACCGGGAACGTTTGAACCAATGTGTTAACACTGGAGGCCGCCATTTAAATTACATTTTATTTAAAACACGATAATTTTAAATTATCGATTATTAAAACGACATTTTATTTAAAGCACTATAATTTTATATTTTTTAAAATGGCATAATGTGTGTTTTTGGTTAATAGCAATAAAAATGTCATATCTTACTTGGTTTTGTTTTTATTAGCTTTCCTAATAGGGGAGTTCTTTCTGCCGCACCCTGTATTTTGTCACTGAGATAGTTGACAGAAGCCGAAAGCTAGCAGAAGCTAGCTGAAAGTCCGCACATGCAAAAGAAATACGTAATTTACATCAGTAATCTATCAGGGGCTCACTTCAACTATGTTCATTTTGATTAAAAAACTGGCAACAACTTTAACATTTTCTATTAACACGTTCGCTGCGGGTGGTTCTGTACTGACTCAAGGCGATCGCAACCCTCACACGGCCAGGTCATTACTGACCCAAAACTTACACTGCAGTGCATCAATCTGTTGCTCAATACGAGCCTAGCTTCGGTCGAAGGCGGACCTATACTACGTAGCGTGTAGTGTGTGACATGCTTTTTGTTGTGGTGTTGATTGGTAATAAATTTCCCCGTAAAATTCCTGTCTGGCAAGCTTAGAAATCAACTTGTTGTCACGTCTTTCTCCCTCCAATTGGCAGTACAATGGGACCGGCTACGTTCCAAGCAGTGCTGCTTTCTGTGGCTGTTTTAGCAAACTACGTCGACTCTCGTCGTAATGCAGTACATCACCACACGTTATTTGCTATTCGTCAGACCGAAATTTGAAAGCCAATCGCCCTGCTCAATGCTGTGCCGCACTGGGGATACGGCCGCCATTGATAGGCCATAGCGAACCTGTTAATAGGTACAGTTTACTGTTTACTTATTTACCTACCTTTGTCAATACTGGAATCCAGTCAGACTGTTCTAAGCTGACTAAAAACCACACAGCTAACATCTTCTCTGCCACCCAATGATTGAGGGATGCTGGAAACACCATAAATCTTGATATATAATTAATATAAACTAAGGGAAATACACGTTTCTAAAACTATATCTATTCCAGCTTTGTACGATGTAAGACAATATATAAGGAGAATAATTCAATTTTACAATGATTTGTTTGACTCGCCTAAAGAGATGCTATGCTGCTAGTTATTATTAGAAATGAGGATTTTGGTTCATGTGATAAAGTTCACGAGGAAAAAATGTGGTTCGGATTCCACAATAAACTGTAGGTCCCTAAGCTGAGCTGTATGGGCTATTAATTAACAGCTGTGTCTAAGGAACATGTCAGCCTTAGTCACTAACAAGACTACAAGATCGCGCCACTCGTCCTACACTCATCCTTCACTCATATTTGGGTTAAAATACGCACATAGTGGCGTCCCCATCTTAAATAATTGATAATTGATAATACTATTATGGGTTTACAGTACCAGTTTCATATGACGTGTGTAATGAAACCATTAACGAAGCTAACCAAGCGGGAATGACTAAGGCCCACTATAAACTCATAATAGTCAACTAGTGTACCTGTTGCTCGAATTCGAGCAATTGCTAAGTATTACAGGCGTTATTTAAAAACGAATAACAGTCATAATTTCTGATGACTTTAAAATATTGACTCAAAGATTATGGAAATACTCAAGATGTACATAACAGATCGATACAATCAACATTTTTACTGTAAATAGTGTTTTCTACAAATAGCCTTACTCATAGCCCCATTAGGTTTCCAGACACATTATGTGTCCAAAAGCCTAACAGCACGACTCCCTTCCCCATACCGCCCAGGGGAGCGTTTCATAAACTCCAAATTTCACAAACTCCAACGCTTAAAATATTAAATAAACAGAGCGGTTCATAACCTCCAAATTTCATAAGCTCCAAATCTATAACATTCAAATAATCACTGTTTCACAATGTCCAAGTTTCACAAACTCCAACGTTTAAATATTAAATAAACAGAGCGGTTCATAACCTCCAAATTTCATAACCTCCAACGGTACAGTCTGGGCCAGAAGACTCTCTAGTGGTTGCCACAGTCAGATAGCAGGCACCGTTTGCCAGCTACTGATTATACGTACATTTTAATGATTGAAGAATACTCAGATGTGTGACTCAAATATGTGTTAGCACACAATGTGCAAATCAAATTTACATTTTAGCGAATTTCCCCTATAGGGAATAAGCTATTACCGTAGTACTCATGGTAAGACCTGGTCCCGGGACCGATTTACTTTTTCGTTTTGAGGTCCCTAGAGACCAAAAACACCATCAGTTATATATATATTTATATGTGTGTCCGTTAGCGTGATAACTCGAGCAAAAATCATCCGATTTTGATGAAATTTGGTACAAACGTGTAAACCTACGTTTATTCGAACGAGTTCGCGAACCAGCATGATCGGACTATGGGAACTCTTAAGAATATACACTTATACTCTTAAGAAAGCAATTACGGAGCAACAATGATACTTCGTGTTGCGCCGCTACAACAGTAGAACGTGTAGCGCCTACATACCGAACCACAGCAAACTCTGCAGCGACTTCTGGCAGAGACTGTACCGTTGGAGCTTATGAAACTTGGAGGTTATGAACCGCTCTGTTTATTTGATATTTAAACGTTGGAGTTTGTGAAATTTGGACATTGTGAATCGGTGATTATTTGAAAGTTATAGTTTTGGAGTTTATGAAATTTGGAGGTTATGAAACGCACTGTTTATTTAATATTTTAGACGTTGGAGTTTGTGAAATTTGGACATTATGAACCTCACCCCGGCCCAGATGGATAGGGATCATTGGGATTCGCTCTAACTTTTCCTCTCCCCTTCCTTTTCTTTCTTAGTTTTTGTTTTTTTCTTTTTTTTAAATTTTAACGCCTGTATGTATCCCTGGTTTTTCCTATTTCCCTAGCTACTTTTATAAACGTCTCAATTGTTTCCTTGTCACTAATCATATTTTATTTTCATATTTTCTCATCTCTAGACCTATCTTACCCAAGATTTATTCCTGTTCTCTCCTATTTGTCTCCTGAAGTGAACATTTATAAATACGTGACTCGTGATTTTTATTTCTCCACATCTACATACTTCCTCTTCCACCAGGTGAAATCTTCACAAACTCGCCTTGAAATTGTCCACGTCCTGTGACAAACTGCGTTTCATAATGGCCCATCTCCCAATCTTGTTCCATTTCTTTCTGATGTTAGGTGTATATCCGAACGTTTACCTTTAAAACGTTAACATAAAACACTCTGCACCCAACGCATTTGCCACTCCTCTAATATCTCCTCTCTTCTGTTTCCAATGTAGTCCTCCTACCCGCCTCCTTGTCTTCCAAAATCAACAGCTTATGCAGCGATTATCCAACAGTCCTAAATTGAATGTGAAATCTTCAGGCGGCTGTTGGAGAGCACACTTAAACCCAACACAGAAGGGTGCTTGCTGTATTCGGCTATCAATGACAATAGTATTATTTGTAATTCGTTCGCGTCTACCAGTTAAATTTTGTCGGCCTCCTCCGATTGGCCGTCCTGGTCAACGTCTCATAGTCTCCATTATGTCAAACGTTTTTTTGGTTATGTTTTGATTTTGTGCAAAATTTTAGTACAACCAGCTGTTTCAAATATTAGTGTAAATTTCAAATTATTCATGTGTTCAAATGTAAACAAAAATTTTCTCCCTAAGAATAACATGTGAACTTTGAAGGCCACTGGGGCAGAGCCCTGATGGAATTCCAAAGTTTTTTTGTTTGTTAGTCAATTTTACACCCTTATTCACACAAAGCCCTACTTTTGATCACAGAAACACGCAATGACAGTCTTATATGTCCTCTGCCATTATGCAGTATTCTGACAGCCAAATCAGTTTAGGCTTATTATAATCTGTAGGCGTAGAGGGATGAAAAAAAAGCTTTCATTAAATTATCTCTAAATGTGTTTATATGCTCCTATAAAAAATGCTATCTTACAAGGAGACGTTCAATTAGGTAACCTTCTCTACAGTATTGCTGTGATATGTGTATACAAACCTTCAAGTTTAGATGTAAAGGTCACCAGGTCACAAGGATTTTCAACAGAACTGATGTGAACACCCTTGTATCTGTCAACAGTTCCAGTGAACACACTACTTGCGTCTGTTGACATATTTTCTGCCATTTGGATACCAAAGGTTGTATTCTTGTTCCTTGGTTTCCTTTAAACAAAAAGTGCAAATTATAATTGATTAGCAATAAATTTAAACACTTCTGAATAGGCCTATTAACACGTTCGCTGCTACGGACGTTCCGGAACGTCAAACGGGCCACGGCGCCAGGAGCTAGGAACGTTCCGGAACGTCGCCGTTCATTGATGTTTAACGTTTTCATGGATCAGCCAGCTCGTCATGAGCGTCCTATATTTCTTTGCAGCTCGTGGGGACGTACTTTTCTGACAATAAAAAATATAGTTTCCCAAAATCACCACCAGGGTCGTTTAGAACAGGGCTTTGTTCCACTTCTTTCCTGCTAGATAGCGACACTACTTTACCAACTGCAACCTGGGTAGTGCTGCTACCTATCTGATTCACTTAGTACTATGTCCAAAGCCAGTTTTATTGCAGAACATTGCCATCCAGCACAACTACTGTAGTTGTTACTGTAATTCAGTGTATCGGCAGCAATGTTTACGCAGCGGCGAGCGTTAGTTCAGCTCCTGGCGCCGTTCCGGCATCTAGCGGTCAGCAGCGAACGTGTTAACAAAATTAAGGTCAATATGGCTTTAGATCCAACCACAATGGCTGTTATAAAAATTAATTAACCAAGTTTTGCAAGGTTTTGAGACAAGTTGGTGACAGATACATGCCTTGCTAATTTGACTAACGCCTTCAACACAGTCTACCATCCCGTTCTTTTTTATAAACTAAATTACTATGGCGTTAGGAACTGTGAATTAAACATAGGCCTAATTCAATCCTATCTTGAAACCCGTAAGCCATAGGTCGGGATAGGAAATTATTAAATTCTGATATTTTCAAAGGAAATGAGTGCTGGTGTTCCGCAGAAGACCATTTTAGGACCTATCCTGCTTTTGATTTTTATTAACGACTTCAGTTTAAAATGTCTCTACTCATCAGTACTTTATGCTAATGATAGTACCCTGTTCAGAATATATGATGTTCTAATATGGGATGCAGTTCAACAGAGATCTAAATACTATACAGCCCAATGTACAACTGACTCAGGTATACAAATGTTTGAGCACTTCTAGAAGTGCTAGGGATTTGAAATTTGGCATGCGTCTTGGTCTTGGGCCGAAATCCCCAGGAAAATTATGAAAAGTGACATTTTAGAATTTTAACCCCCCCGAAATCTCGAATTTCCCCCCCCCCCATGTTATTCTTATGGGGAATAACATTACAAATGGCCGACTTTGGTGTGCCCATCTGAACGGTTTAGAAACATGCTAGAGACTTGAAATTTGCGTAGTATTGTATAGGGTGCGCCAAAAAAACCTGACGGTTTCTGTTTTGTAATAAGTCAGCTGTTATACTAGCTAGAGACCTCATTGTTGAAGTGAACGATTGCTTATGTTATGCCATTTTTAGGTTATGTTTGGTAAAACATCACGTTGTCAAAAGAAAGTTACTGTCTAGTGTGGTGCAGTGTGGTGTGGCACTATTTGGAGTCATCGGACCATATGTTTTTGAGGACGAAAGTGGGAACACCCCCCTGTCACCGTGAACTCGGAACGCTATTTGGAAATACTGAGGGGTTTTTTGGTTCCACAACTGCGGATGTTATGAGGGATAGACATGACTAACACGTGGTTTCAACAGGACGGCGCAACTTGGCATACATCCAAATTATTCAATGTCAGTTTTGCGTGAACTCTTTGCCGGTAAAGTGATCTCTTGGTTTGGTGATGTGCTGTGGTCAGCTCGATCCCCAGACTTAATTTTGTGTGACTGTTGGCTGTGGGGATACTTAAAAAGCAAAAGGTTTGTTTCGAAATTTCAAACCATCCCTGAACTCAAGCAGTGTCTCAGGGAAGAGATTGCTTCTATTCATCAGGCGAAGGTGACTGCAAATATGCAAAAAAATGGGAAGCCTGTTTTTAGGAGAAGGCGATATAAACTGAGTGATATAATTTTTCATAAATGAAAATGGCATAGTAGTGTGAACAATATAACGTTATTTAATACATGAAATTGTAGTTTGTTCTTGAGTTATTTAGTATTAAAAACCGTCAGGTTATTTTGGCGCACCATTTACTATGGGATCTTAAATTAACGGTGAATTTTGCAAAAGTCCCATTTTCAAATTTTAACCACCCCAAAAATCCAAAATGGCGGACCTCTGAAAACGACAAAACACATTTTTTCAAAGGGCTATAGCTCGAAAACGGTAAGAGCTAGAAAAGATTTGAAAGAATTTTCATCAACAGGAATTAAATTTTCTACAAAACCCTAAACGCCCTACTATCAAAATTTGGTAAATTTTTTTAAAATTTTTAACGGTTTTCGCTATTTTTTCTTACCTAAATAATTCTTTTTTACAAATATTGTTAATGCTCTGTATCCTGCTTAGTTTACTTTAAATTTAACTCCTTATTTAATGTTTTTTCTTATCTTTAAACCTTAACCCGCAAAACTTGGGTTTAATGTCAAAATTTGAAGGTTTTTTACCACTTTTACAAGCCCCATGCTATTCTTATGGAGAATAACATTGAAAGTGGCCGACTTTGGTATGCTCATCTGAACCGCTTAGAAACGTGCTAGAGACTTGAAACTTCGTAGTATTGCAGTATGGCATCTAACATTAACGGTGAAATTCGTAAAAAAACCATTTTCAAATTTCAACCCCCTAAAAAATCCAAAATGGCGGACATGTAAAACCGACAAAACAAGTTTTTTTCAAACGGCTATAGCTCGAACACGGTAAGAGCTAGAAAGGATTTGAATGAATTTTCACAGTCAGGAATTAAATTTTCTACAAAACCCTCTTAAGTAGGCGTTTTCCGAAAATCGCACTCCTTCAGCTTCAAAAAACGCCCTACTTTCAAAATTTGGTAAATTTATTTCAAATTTTTACCGGTTTTCGCTATTTTTTCATACTTAAATAATTCCTTTTTGCAAATATTATTATTGCTTTGTATTCTCCTTACTTTACTTTAAATTTTACTCACCTCATGTTTTTTCGTAACTTAAAGCCCCCCATACACTATCGAACATGCCACCCGACCTGACAACCTGACCTGACGACGGACCCATCATCCAACGTGACTTATGTCGGGTGTTTCCCACACACTATCGAGCATGTTACCCAACAAGTCAGGTGAAATATTAGTTCTGAGATGGATTTTGAGACGACTGTTAGCTGTTTCAGGGGGATTTTTAGCGATGATTTCAGGGGTTTTTAGAGCCTATGGAACTAGGCTCTTAAATTTTCAATTTTTTGATTTAAAGTTCGTTAAAAATAAATTTGAAAATTTAAGAGCCTAGTTCCGTAATTTAAATGCGTTTGAAGATATTGAAAAAAAATCATCAATAATAACGAATGTTCCCTTTTTAACAGGAAAGTAGGCCTACCGTACCGTGGCCTATTTCGTTGTTTTGCTTATTAAGTTACACAATATTTAAGTTAGCTATTTTTACTCAGTATTTATTCTTGGCTACTACCATAGACTACTTAGTCATAATGAGCTAATCCCAATATGTGATTAACCTGTAAAATTAGTGTTATTTAAATCCGTTGGCAGTAAGTTAAATAAATAAAATGATGTAACAAATAATAAAATGAATAAATTAATGAATGAATGAATAATAATTGAATAAAATGAAGTAGCCTAGGTTAAACAAATAAATTTGCTGAAGTAAACAACTCGTGACTGGAGTTAAGTTTTATAAATAAAATTCTTGGGTAGTCCTTTATCCAAAAACTCAATTGAGTTCGTTCAAAATGTTACCTAAAAATTTGTTCAAAATGTTACCTAATTTATGAGGAACTTTTAGGCCCAAGCCCGTATCCCTTATAAGTTAATTTTTCTTGGTAGGCTACACAAGTTTAATCAAGGTCTAGTTTCGGATGCACTTTAGTTTGTTCGAATGAAAATGTTGATACACAGATTATTCCCCTATAGCGATTATTTCATTCGTTCTAACCAAACTTGAAGTTATCAAATGAAGTAATCTACAACCTCAGAGTAAATGAAACAAATCAGAGAAGCAGCCCCAGCCATTTTTAAATGGCAGTTTTGTAGCCGGCCTCTGGGCCGCTACAGTTAGTTCTGTCGGCGCTGGGCGAGAGTGCGCCCTTGTAGCGGTAAAATACTGCTTTACCGACTTGTAGAGCTCGCGGTTCCGCCCGACCGTCGAGCGTGGTATCAACACAACACCCTGTGCCCTTCTCGTTTAATACACCTATGTAAAAGTTATATATTTATTGTTGGTGTTAAACACTGAATAAAACTGTGTAAACTTTTTGGTTTAATTAGTCAACAAACAAATATTATATATTGAAATTGTTAAAGAGGTAACAAAACTCAAAGCATTCGCTCAGTGGAAATATGTTTTAATTTTAAGGTTCCAACACACTTCTGTTTTATTTACTCTGAGCTACAACTTATATTCATTTGAATGAGTGTAGGACGTAAACAAAAGTGCAGTCTGGTGATAAAATGCAACCATATCCTTTACCTCGTTGGACAACGATAAAGCCATAATTATTTAGGATATGAAAGAGTATGCATACTTACAGGCAATGACTTCGACTTCTAATTGTTTGATATTGAAAGGTTATCAGCAAACCTAATTTCAAGTGTCTCTTCGCTTGTTTTAAACATGATGCTGGTATGACATAACGGCAACAAGGTGATAGAAAGGATTTGAACATTTAAGTAAAACTTTGAAAACTAAAAATCATAAATTATCTAGTATACTAGGTCCTTACCAATAACAAAACATAAATTTTTTGATAATTTTACAAATACAAATAAATTTAATTTAGCTCTACTACTACTGCTCTAGCAGAAGGTTTGGTTTCCTTTCCTTTATCAATTATCATCTGTGGCTGTCAGTGTTGTCAATCCACTATTGCCCAATTACCCCCTCCAAAGCAAAGAATTACCCGCTTTTTCTAAAAATTACCCTCAACAAACCAAAAATTCCCTTTTAACACTCTTGCCTGTCTAAAAGTAACGAATAAAAACCCTGAAAAATTAGTTTTGAGTAATCCCACAAATTAAGATGTAGTAAAGAACTAAATATAGGACTTGAGACTTGTAATTAACCTTCATAATGAAATTTGCAATCTTACTGACCTTAAAAAAAATAATTACATTAGTCCTACAATGATTTGTTTTTTTATGATAGCCTATGTCATATACTTGTTTGCTAATGAGTAAGTACTGTTAAAAATTTTATTTTTTATTAGTTTTAGGGAGAAAATAGTTATTATAACCAATCAACATTATTATTCCCCTGTTTTATGTTTTTCATCTTCTTTAGAAATAGACTAGTACGGTATTTTCCTTCACCACGGTATCAGCGTTGACTGTAGTATAGTGAGAAGTGAGATCAGGATCACGATCAGGCATTTAAGGCCAGGCAACCAAAAGTTTTTCCACTCCAATCCAAAAGAAAAGACTACAAACAACCGTACTGACTGAAACTGAACCGAACCGAACCGACTGAACGCTGTAGCCTACTCGCAATTACACTACTAGTGACTGAGTGAGAACTGAACCAAACTGATGAAGATTAAGAGAAGTAGTGTAAAACAATAAAAAGTCTGTGAAATAACTTTAATGGAAAAAAACACAGGGAAATATTTTTCTTCTAGTGAAATAATATAAGTAATAATACGAAAAACAAATAATATTTGATCAGTTGTCATTTACCCGCTTTTTACCCGCATATTTGCCATTACCCGCAGCATTACCCCCAGGTAACTAAATTACCCGCTTTTCGGGTAATTACCCGCTTTTTGGCAACACTGGACTGGCTGTGCCCTTTGCTCGTGCTTATTAAGTTCAGTTCAGACTTCAGTCAGTGAGTCAGTCTGAGTCTATTCTATTATTTATTAGAGCCCAAAACTAAATCCAATCCAAACCAGTGCCAGTTGGTGATCAAGTTCGACTTGGACTGGGACAGTTCAACCATAGATTAAATCTAGGTCCAACATCGATCTACAATGATTCCGAAACATCGATGTAAGGCACTGTAAAGACTAACGAGTTACAGTAGACCACGGCCGCCTTTAGAGGTGGCCATGGTTGGAGTCCATCGATCGATGGCCAGCCATGGCTATTGGCTAGTGTACTTATAAACGTACTAGCTGTAACCCGCGGGCTTTGCCCCGTTTAACTTCTTAATTTTCAAGATTATCTCGTTCGCATGGCTCAATCACGTCCTGGTTGAAGTTTGTTCGCTACGCTCACTCACCTTTAGGTTGGAGCTCGTTTGCTACGCTCACTCACCTTTAGGTTGGAGCTTGTTTGCTGCGCTCACTTGCCTTCAGGTTAGCTCGTTCGCTACGCTAACTCGCCTCCAGGTTGAAGTTCGTTCGCTACGCTCACTCACCTTTTGGTTGCAAATTAGCTGTTGTCATAAATGTAAAAGAAATAATAGTGCTGCACCCTGTTGCACTACTAACTAACTCGCCTCCAGGTTGAAGTTCGTTCGCTACGCTCACTCACCTTTGGGTTGGAGCTCGTTCGCTACGCTCACTCACCTTTAGGTTGGAGCTCGTTCGCTGCGCTCACTTGCCTTCAGGTTAGCTCGTTCGCTACGCTCACTCGCCTCCAGGTTGAAGTTCGTTCGCTACGCTCACTCACCTTTTGGTTGCAAATTAGCTGTTGTCATAAATGTAAAAGAAATAATAGTGCCGCACCCTGTTGGTAATCCTTGTAACTTTAATGCTATTGAACATCATAGAACAGAACCAACTTGTTTAATTGAAACAGCTGTTAAGATTCATTAATTCCATTTCTCATAAGGTTAACATGGGAAACTCCAGAGCCACTGGGGCGGAGCCCTTTTAAGAATTTCGAAACGGGAAATAGTTTACGTCCGATTCGCATACCTACAGAATTTACACACCAAATTTCATAACGATCGGTGAAGTCGTTCCGGAGGAGTTTGCAGACAAACACTGTGACACGAGAATTTTATATATTAGATATATATATATACGTCCGTGAACGCGATAACTTGAGTAATTTTTGTCCGATTTTGATGAAATTTGGTTTAAAGGTGTAAAGCGGGATAAACTTGAATGAGTTCGCGAACTAGCACGATCGGACCATGGGAACGGGGCTTTACGGGGGGTTTTACGGGGTAAAAATTGGTTTTTCTCACTTTTGACCCTCAAAACACAAAATTTCCCGATTTCTCTTTAGACCTTTTTAAAGAGCTTAAAAAAACTAATAATTTAGTGTATAAAAGTATTTTTGTTCGATTATTAGTAACGGAAAGAGCTTAAAAAAACTAATAATTTAGTATATGAAAGTATTTTTGTTCGATTATTAGTAACGGAGAAAATTAAAAAAAATGTTAATTTATAATTCCCATGTTATTCTTATGGAGAATATTGTCAAATGTTGTAGTTTGCTTGTTTATGGATATATTTTGATCAAACTTGGCAAATTTATTTATTTTGTACTAAGCTATCAATATTTTACTCAAAAACACACTTTATTAGTTTCCTTGTAGCAGTAAACCTAGGTACTCGTTAAACCTAATGTTATTGAAATATATTTAACTGAAAATCAATTCAAACAAATGGAAATTCGCTTAGTCGGCAGGTTTGCTGCGGCAGGGGTATTTAAATTTTCACTCTACACTGTGTAATATATTCATCAAAGACATATGTCTTAGAACTAAGATAGTGTAATAACAGCCTTAACCCACCCACCAAACCTCTGGATTATTAGTTTACATAACTATTAGCAAATTTTATAGGAAATATAGGAAAATCGGACCCGGGACTGTTTTCCTTTTTTTTTGTTTTGAGGTCCCCAGAGTCCAAAAACACCCTCTGTTCAAATTCACACACACACACACACACACACACACATATATATATATATATATACGTTAGCGCGATAACTTGAGTAAAAATGATTTGATTTTTATGAAATTTAGTAGAAACCTACGTTTATTCGAACGAGTTGGTGACCAGCATGATCAATCTATGGGAATGGGGTTTTTGTAGGGTTTTATGGGGTAGAAATTGGTTTTTCCCATTTCTTCGTTCAAAAAACATAAGATTTCAGAATTTCTTTCCAGACCATTTGGAGAGCTTAAAATTTTTTTTGTATATTGAGGTGTTATTGAATGCCTAACGGTTAGGTTACGGAGATAATAAAAAACTTTAAATTTTTAATTCCCATGTTTTTCTTATGGACAGTAAATAAACTGTTGTAGTTTGTTTGTTTATGGATATATTTTAATCAAATTTTTTAACTTTGTTTATTTCATACTAAGCTATGAACATTTCGATAAAACACACACCTCAATACCTTCTCTGTAGCAGCAAACCTAGGTACTCATTAAAATTTATGTTATTTAAATAGGGAAAGAATCTGACCATTTTCAGAGAATATTTTTGTAGAAATCCAGCCAGGTAAATGGAAATTCACTTAGCCTGCAGGTTTGCAAAGGTTATTTAACGCTAGAGTGGTGTCAAGTTCCTACTACCCCCGCTTGGGTGCAAGACTTGTGTCTCCTGCTACCTTCCTACCTCGACTCAGTCTACCACCAAACACAAGGGCATAATTTTGAGGTTACAGATTCGTCTGCAATTGTGTACTTTGGTCCCCTACACCTAAGACGCACCTAGGGTGTGATTGGTTCAACAGACCGAAAACACCTAAAATGAATAATAGTACACTATGTTATACAGTGCAGACTTCCTCTTATCCGGACACCTTTTAACCGGACATCGGTTTAACCTGACTACACTCAGCGGAAATTACATCTCTTTAACCTTACAATTTTTATCAGCACATCCGTTTAACCGGACTAGATTGGCAGGAAGTGGGTGGTACTAAAAAGATTGTTCTCGTGGGAAAAATTTGAGACCAGTGATTACATGTCTAAATACAATGATCTCCTAAATTTAAGCCAAATATTTCGGTTACATAACAAGTTTTTGGGGACGTCGGTTTAACCGGAAAACCCGTTATCCGGACTGGCCTCGGTCCTGAGGAGTCCGGATAAGAGGTAGTCAATGTACAACACTATACCTAATTTATTAATTTTATATCATGTAAAATTATATAATTTTAATCATTTTACATAGTTTACATATTGTATTTCAATAGTTGTATACCTACATAAAATATTAAAACGGTCTCACAAATATTAAAACGACATCAAAGTCGCCATTACTCTATGGGTCAAACGTTAAAAACAGACAGTATTCCGATGGTTTATGTTTTTTTACATCAACTAGTCAATAAACTTTCATATACCAGTAAAGGCTTTAGTAATTTAAAAACAGTATTTTGAAAAAAGTTTTACTTTATCAACTATTGATAAATGTATTCGTTTTTTCAAAAATATTTTACCAATAGTCAGAGAGGGTTTATTTCACGATAAACATCATAAAAATGTAATAATAATTTTACACAGTTTTGTCTATTATAAAATTGTAGTTATATACTAAAAATTACAAAAACTTGTTTACTTTACTTATTTTTCATATAAGAAAAATATAAGCAATTTAAATTAAATGTATTTGTTCTGTGGGTGAAAATGGGAAAATCAATGTTACCCCCCATAAAACACCAGACTTCCAATCATACTGGTTAGTGAACTCGTTAGAATCAACATAGGTTCACAGTTGGCACTTTATCAGAATCCAATTAATTTTTGTGAAGTTATCCCGGACTTCACCCATACTATGTCCATTCCAGTCACCATCGTGGCTTGGACTGGAAGGCTGGAGTATAATACGCATAATACGTTCTGCCCCACTCTGTAAATACACTTTTACAAATCGCGTTTTTGGCCTCTGGGGACATCGAAGCGAAAAAGTAAATTGGTCCTAGAGTTACC